GAGCCCAAGGGAAGAATCCTCCACCTTGTGTGACTGTGGAGCAGAACAGACAACTCCGCATCTGTATGCTTGTCCACTACGCCCTGCCTCATGTACAAAACCATGAGAACGGTGGCCTACTGTAGATGTGCCCAAAGGCAAAGCACCTCATTGAGCCCAAGGGAAGAATCCTCCACCTTGTGTGACTGTGGAGCAGAACAGACAACTCCGCATCTGTATGCTTGTAAACTGTGTCCTGCCTCATGTACAGAGTGATGAGAACGGTGTCCCACTGTAGATGTGCCCAAAGGCAAAGAACCTCATTGAGCCCAAGGGAAGAATCCTCCACCTTGTGTGACTGTGGAGCAGAACAGACAACTCCGCATCTGTGTGCTTGTCCACTACGCCCTGCCTCATGTACAGAGTGACGAGAACAGTGTCCCACTGTAGATGTGCCCAAAGGCAAAGCACCTCACTGAGCCCAAGGGAAGAATCCTCCAGTTTGTGTGACTGTGGAGCAGAACAGACAACTTTGCATCTCTATGCTTGTCCACTGTGTCCTGCCTCATGTACAGAGGAGAAATTGTTGGAGGCTACAAACAATGCCACTGCTGTTGCCCATTTTTGGTGAAAAGATATTTACCTTCCTGCATGCCTTCTATTTTTATTGGTTTTATACTAATTTATGCAATGCTTTTGATACGAAACAATATAAATTCTAATCAAACTCTATTTGTAGGCTGTCCTTTCTCCTTGAAAGGACTCAGGGTGGTTTCCAAAATATATGGCAAACATTCAATGCCCATCGCCTTCGATAAGCTTCCAGGCATGCCATACACTGCCTCCGAAACCAGGTAAGCTTACTGAGAGGGCCAAGGAGGTGTGAGTTGGCTCAGGAAACTGTACGAGGATAATACGCGGTTGCAAAAAGGGAGGAGCGACGGCTGCTGATTAAGGCCACAAAATGGAAAGTATTCAGGCCGCCTCTGCTGACAACAGGTTGAACCTGAACCCAGTTTCAAACCAGGATTGCGGCCAAGGTCTGTGTCACACACGCCGGCCATTAAACGGGGGGAATGGTGACCAGTTCCGCCCAGTGAAAAGCAGAGAGAGGAAGGAAAGCTTACTCTCAAAAATACAGATAATTCTCATCCTTCTTCTCTATGTCGTTAGATTTAGAGCAAGTTACGACATAATTAAAACAAAGAAAATAAATAAAAACAAGTTACGACATAAACAGATTTTTATGTATTTAAATGTCATGTAAATTTATGAAAGTGTCATGGCCACACTATATATCAGGCGTGGGCCAACTTGGGCCCTCCCTCCGGGTATTTTGGACTCCACACTCAAGCCAGGAATGGTGGGAGTTGGAGTCCAAAACACCCGGAGGGAAGGCCCAAGTTGGCCCATGCCTGATATATAGTGTTGCCCTGACACTCAAGCCAGGAATGGTGGGAGTTGGAGTCCAAAACACCCGGAGGGAAGGCCCAAGTTGGGCCATGCATGATATATAGTGTTGCCCTGACACTCAAGCCAGGAATGGTGGGAGTTGGAGTCCAAAACACCCGGAGGGAAGGCCCAAGTTGGCCCATGCCTGATATATAGTGTTGCCCTGACACTCAAGCCAGGAATGGTGGGAGTTGGAGTCCAAAACACCCGGAGGGAAGGCCCAAGTTGGGCCATGCATGATATATAGTGTTGCCCTGACACTCAAGCCAGGAATGGTGGGAGTTGGAGTCCAAAACACCCGGAGGGAAGGCCCAAGTTGGCCCATGCCTGATATATAGTGTTGCCCTGACACTCAAGCCAGGAATGGTGGGAGTTGGAGTCCAAAACACCCGGAGGGAAGGCCCATGCCTGACATATAGTGTTGCCCTGACACTCAAGCCAGGAATGGTGGGAGTTGGAGTCCAAAACACCCGGAGGGAAGGCCCAAGTTGGCCCATGCCTGATATATAGTGTTGCCCTGACACTCAAGCCAGGAATGGTGGGAGTTGGAGTCCAAAACACCCGGAGGGAAGGCCCAAGTTGGGCCATGCATGATATATAGTGTTGCCCTGACACTCAGGCCAGGAATGGTGGGAGTTGGAGTCCAAAACACCCGGAGGGAAGGCCCAAGTTGGGCCATGCCTGATATATAGTGTTGCCCTGACACTCAAGCCAGGAATGGTGGGAGTTGGAGTCCAAAACACCCGGAGGGAAGGCCCAAGTTGGCCCATGCCTGATATATAGTGTTGCCCTGACACTCAAGCCAGGAATGGTGGGAGTTGGAGTCCAAAACACCCGGAGGGAAGGCCCAAGTTGGCCCATGCTGATGTATTGTCATTGTTGTTATTTTGCTTAATTGTTTTGATTTGCTTTGTTATTGTTGTGTTATGTTTTCTATTGTATTGCGTTCTGAGGCTTCGGCCCGTGTAAGCCGCATCGAGTCCTTCGGGAGATGCTAGCGGGGTACAAATATAGTTAATAAATAATAAATAATAAATAATAATAATATAGTGTTGCCCTGACACTCAGCCCAGGAATGGTGGGAGTTGGAGTCCAAAACACCCGGAGGGAAGGCCCAAGTTGGGCCATGCCTGATATATAGTGTTGCCCTGACACTCAAGCCAGGAATGGTGGGAGTTGGAGTCCAAAACACCCGGAGGGAAGGCCCAAGTTGGGCCATGCCTGATATATAGTGTTGCCCTGACACTCAGGCCAGGAATGGTGGGAGTTGGAGTCCAAAACACCCAGAGGAAGGGCCCAAGTTGGCCCAGGCCTGACAGTTTCCCATTTTGCTGGCTTATGAGTAACCGTGGAGAGAGAGGAAAAAATGCATGCGTTTGGCTGACATGAGAGGCAGCTTCTCTGCTGGAACACGCCTGCGATGTGCAGGCGTCACATGCAGAGCCCGCGGCTGAGTGCCAGCCAGCCAAGAGGGAAAGGAGAAGCCGGCGGCATCGGCAAGGGAAAGCACACAAGCTCAGCCGGGAGGAGAACGACAACGACAACGAAGCACAGCTTTGCAAGCAAACACACAGCCTGCCTAGGTACGGAGAGGATGAATCCCTTCCTCTTCAGCAATTCCTCAGATAAGCGGCTTTAACTCAAAGCAAAAGGAAATAAGAAACCCTCGGAAATCAAGGACTGGTCAGGCCTAATCTTCAAAATTAAGGAGTCGCTAGAAAACACACACACATATATGTACATATGTAATAAAAGTCTATGTTTGTATGTGGGCCGCAATATATTTTTCTCCCACTTCCACAGACCACTGCGACCCCCACGAATGACAGACCTGGACCAAACTTGGGATACAGACACCCACATGATGCAGTTTATGTCCTGGTGAAGTTTGGGGGAGGATGGACCATGGATGATGGGATCTGCAGTCCCTTCACCCACACCCAGAGGCTACTGCAAATCTTACTAGCCATAGATATGGACCAAACTTGCCACACAGACCCCTGCATGACCCACCTTACATCTTGGTGAGGATTGGGGGAGCATGGGCCATGGATGATGGGATTTGCAGTCACTTCACTCACATCCAGAGACCACTGCAAATCCTACTGGCCATGAATATGGACCAAACTTGGGACACAAACCCCTGAATGAACCACTTTATATCCTGGTGAGATCTGGGGGAGGATGGACCACGGATGATGGGATCTGAAGTGCCCTCACCCACATCCAGAGACTACTGCAAACCCTAATGACTATGGATAGGGACCAAACTTGCCACACAGACCCCTGCATGACTCACTTTACATTCTGGTGAAGTTTGGGAGAGAATGGACCATGGATGATGGGATTTGCAGTCCCTTCACCCACATCCAGAGACTACCACAAACCCCATCAACCTTGGATATGGTCAAACGTGGGACGCAGACCCCCGCATGACCCACTTTACACCCCAGTGATGTTTTTTGGGGGGAAGATGGACTACGGACAATGGGATTTGCAGTCCCTTCACCCACATCCAGAGACTACTGCAAACCCTAATGGCTGTAGATACGGACCAAACTTGGCACACAGACCCCTGCATGACCCACTTTACAACTTGGTGAGGTTTGGGGGAGGATGGACTACGGACAATGGGATTTGCAGTCCCTTCACCCACATCCAGAGACTACTGCAAACCCCATCAACCATGGATCTGGATCATGGATGATGGGATCTGCAGTGTCCTCACCCACATCCAGAGACTACTGGGCACGGATATGGACCAAACCTGGCACATAGACCTCCCCATGACCCACTTTACAACCTGGTGAGGTTTGGGGGAGGATGGACCATGGACAATGGGATCTGCAGTCCCTTCACCCACATCGAGAGACTACTGTGAACTGCATCAACCACAGATCTGCACCAATTTCCAATGGGTCCATTCATGGCACCCAAAACCAAACAATGCTCTTTTCATATAACTTGGGCATGCTGGGCATCCAAGCTAGTATACATACATACATACAAAAGGAAACATCCTCGCAGTTCTGTTTGTCTTTATTCCTTGCGTGTTGACATAATAAATGGACCGAAGGCGGACTTGTTGCTGTGGGTTTTTTGTCCCGAAAAGTCCACAACACCCAGACCAGGTGATGTCTTCCTGGGAAACCTCCATGCGCATGACAGACACCTGTCAAGAGCGGGTATCAGGCTCCTTCGCGAGCAAGGCCAGGATTGTTTTGGAATTTGTGTTGGCCGGGTGCTAAGCAATAATCAATGCTGACAACAAAAGCTATGTTTGATTAGCAGTTACCGCGAAATGGAGTGGCCCTCTTTCTCAAGAGGAGAAAACGAGATTGCAGAGCCAACTTTCAGAGAATAACAACAACAACAAGAGACAACCACACCCTTGTATGTCATTTCAGATGTTTCAGCCTCCACGAACCAAGCCATCAAGACCCCCATTTCTTGACCTCCCCTGGCCCCTGGGGCCAGGGGAGGTCAAGAAATGGGGGTCTTGATGGCTTGGTTCGTGAATTCTTTGAGGGACTTCTGGGTGCCGGACAGCACGAGCGGTCAGCTTCTTACCTGGAGGACAAGGTGGCGAAATCCCCTCCATCCAGCAGCCGGATTTTGCAGAAGAGGACCCCGTTGACGAAAGGCACGGCCGTCAGTTCCTCCAAAGTGAAGCTGGTCTGGAACTTGAACTTCTTCTTCTTCATCAAAAAAGCCATGGGCAAAACTCAAAAAAAAAAAAAGGAAAGGGGGGAGCAAAACAAAACGACAACAATCGAGGCACGCCGAGAAGAATCAAAACAACTTGGAAATATCAATACAAAAACAAAACGGAGTCCGGGCGGAGCGGGCGCTTGGCCTCACATGGGAAAGCCCTCCTGCCTCTTTGGTGGTCGGATCTGGCTATCGTGGCATGGCTGGCCAGGGTTCCGGGTAAGGAGGCGGGCAGGACGGGCCTCTGGGTCATCTCCGAAGGAGGGAGGGAGGGAAGGAATGGCCGAAGCCCAGCTCCGGGCCAGCAGGAGCCCCTGGCACAGCTTCACAAGGGCATCGTCGTCGCTTCGATTGTGGGATGCTGTGTGCGTGCGTACGTGTGCAAGGAGGCTCCCACAGGTCTCTCTCCAGCCTAGGAAAAGCAGAGAAGAGCGGTTGGTGAGTCCACGCCTGTTGCCGGCTCCTCCCTTGCATTACAGCCCAATTAGAGGCGGGTGAACATCCCAGGCGAATGGAAACTCAGGCTGTTGGCCACAACCCCCCCCCCCCCCGGCCATCCTTTCCTACATCTCACAGAATTGGAAGAGACCCCAAGTTTGGGTCACCCAGTCCTGGAGGGTCTTCCTCCTGGGGCAAATTGAGAACGGACAGCTTGGAAGCCCCTGAAAAGACTCAGAAGTGGACAGGGCGGATCAAGAGGCAACCAGGCAAAATGGCACAGCGTAGAAGAATCCTCCACATGGTGCAACTGTGTCTGGTTGTGATCCCCAGGTTGTGCCAGTCAGCACAACCACTGGAGAAATTACACTGCTTAGCCGGTATTGCACCACCTGACATCCGCCAGGAAGTAGCAGCCAATAGTGAAAGGACCAAGGCAGAGACATCTCCAGCTCATCTTGGGTATCAGCCAGCACGTCAACGACTTAAATCAAGAAATAGTTTTCTTGGATCTACACTCGCTGGAACACCTCAGCAAGCGAGAGTCCAAAAGTGGCAGGCTCAAACCCAGAACCTCAACCAATGGCTGATACCAAACGAGAGACTCCCCCCTGGGCACACGAGGACTGGGCGACTTGGAAGGCGCTGAACAGACGGCGCTCTGGCACTACAAGATGCAGAGCCAACTTTAAGAAATGGGGCCACAAAGTGGAATCCACGACATGCGAGTGTGGAGAAGAGCAAACCACTGACCACCTGCTGCAACGCAACCTGAGCCCTGCCACATGCACAATGGAGGACCTTCTTGCGGCAACACCAGAGGCACTCCAAGGGGCCAGCGACTGGTCCAAGGACATTTAATCAACTACCAAGTTTGCAAAATCTGTTTGTTTTTTTTTAAATCTGTTTGTTTGTTTTGATCTGTTAGAAATGTAATACAATGGTATGGTTGCTGATGACACGATAAATAAATAAATGGTGCAACTGTGGAGCAGAACAGACCCTTTGCATCTCTATGCTTGTCCACTACGCCCTGCCTCATGTACAGAGTGACGGGAACAGTGTCCCACTGTAGATGCGCCCAAAGGCAAAGCACCTCATTCAGCCCAAGGGAAGAATCCTCCACCTTGTGTGACTGTGGAGCAGAACAGACAATTCCGCATCTCTATGCTTGTCCACTGTGTCCTGCCTCATGTACAGAGTGACGGGAATGGTGTCCCACTGTAGATGCGCCCAAAGGTAAAGCACTTCATTGAGCCCAGGAGAAGAATCCTCCACTTTGTGTGACTGTGGAGCAGAACAGACAACTTTGTATCTCTATGCTTGTCCACTATGTCCTGCCTTATGTACAGAGTGTACGAGAACGGTGTTCCACTGTAGATGTGCCCAAAGGCAAAGCACCTCACTGAGCCCAAGAGAAGAATCATCCACCTGGTGTGACTGTGGAGCAGATCAGACATCTCCGCATCTGTATGCTTGTCCACTATGCCCTGCCTCATGTACAGAGAGACGAGAACAGTGTCCCACTGTAGATGTGCCCAAAGCAAAGCACCTCACTGAGCCCAAGAGAAGAATCCTCCACTTTGTGTGACTGTGGAGCAGATCAGATATCTCAGCATCTGTATGCTTGTCCACTGTGTCCTGCCTCATGTACAGAATGACGGGAACGGTGTCCCACTGTAGATGCACCCAAAGTCAAAGCATCTCACTGAGCCCAAGGGAAGAATCCTTCACCTTGTGTGACTGTGGAGCAGAACAGACAATTCCTCATCTGTATGCTTGTCCACTATGTCCTGCCTCATGTACAGAGGAAGAATTGTTGGAGGTGACCAAATGTTTGGTCAAAAGATATTTAGCGGCTTGTTCTCCTTCTATTTTTATCAGTTTTATACTAATTTATGCAATGCTTTTGATACGAAATCAATAAATCCAGTCCAATCCCCTTCTGCCTTCAATCAGGAAAAGAACTATCAAGCACCCGCAACAGATGGTCACCCAGCCTTTGTAATAATAATAATAACAACAACAACAGGAGCATCCCAAGGGCCGGGCCATCCAGTCCAAACCCCTTTATTCGCCAAGCAGGAAAAGCACCATCAAAGCATCCCTGATAGATGTCCATCCAGGCTCTGCTTAATAATAATAATAATAATAATAATAATAATAATAGAATCATAGAGCTGGAAGAGACCATCAGGGCCATCCAGTTGAATTCCCTTCTTTCTGCCAGGCAAGAAAAGCATCATCAAAGCACTTCCAACAGATGGCCATCCAGCCTTTTAATAACAATAACAACAACAACAACAACAACAGGAGCAACCCTGTGAGCCATCCAATCCAACCCCCTTTATTCTGCCAAGCGGGAAAAGCACCATCAAAGCACCCCCAAAAGGTGGCCATCCAGCCTCCAAAAAGGTTGCTTCCTCCACACTGAGGCAGAGAGTTCCACTGCTGAACTTTCAGTCATGGTCAGGTGGGATCTTCTTTCTTTCCCGTCCTTTGAACTCATGGCTACGTTGAGTCCCAGCCACAAAGAAAAGGCAATGCTGAGTGCAGTACGTGTATGTGTACATGTAAATATATTTACACACACACACACACTTGCATGCTCTTATGTGCACACATAGGACACCTTTACTTTCGTGCTCCAAGTCATGTGGTGCATTGCACATGAGTATCGTCTGTGTTGCACGGTGTCCAAGACGTGACAAGACGAAGTTTCTTGTGAGGCTTGGGTGGGTTCCCTCTCAAGATAGCCTATTATGCATATATGCAAATGTCTCAAAATCCCCAAAGAGCCTAAATCCTAGAGGTGGTGGGGATGGCCGTCTGTCAGGAGTGCTTTGATTGTGATTTTTTTTCTTCCTCCCCTCCTCCTCCTCTTTCTTTTCTTCACCACCATCGTCTTCCTTTTGCTCCTCCTACGCTTCTTCCCTTTCTTCTTCCTCTTGGTCACCATCCTCTTCCTCCTCTCTTGTCTTTCTTTCTTTCCTTCCTCCTCCTGCCTTCTTCCTCCTCGTTATCACCCCTTCCGCCTCTTCTTCCTTTCTGCACTTACTTTCTACTTTCTCTTTGTCACCATCTTTTCTTCCTCCTGTCTTCTCATTTCTTTCATTTTCTTCTTCCTTCTCCTTCCTCTTCCTCATCCCCTTCCTCCTACATCCTTCTTCCCCTTTTCTCACCATCCTCTTCCTCCTCTTCTGCTTCTTCCTTGACTTCTTCCTCCTCTCCTGACTTTCTTTTCTTCCTCCTTCTTCCTTTCTTCTTCCTCCTCTTTGTCACCATCCTTTCTTTTTTTCTTCCTCCTCCTTTGCTTTTCCTCTTCCCCACCCCTCCTCCTCTTCTTCCTCCTTCCTTCTTGCTCTTCATCACCATCCTTCTTCCTCTTATGCTTCTTCCTTTTCTTCTTCCTCTTCTTCACCATCCTATTCCTATTCTCCTGTCTTTATTTTCTTCCTCTTCCTCCTTTCTTTTCCTCCTCTTACTTTCTCCCATCTTTCTTTGCTTCCTCCTCTGCTTTTCCTCTTCATCATCACCCTTTCCTCCTCTTCTTCCTCTTGCTTCCTTCTTGCTCTTCATGACCATCCTCTTCTTCCTCTTATGCTTCTTCCTTTTCTTCTTCCTCTTCGTCACTATCCTCTTCCTCCTCTGCTGTCTTTATTTTCTTCCTCTTCCTCCTTCTTCCTCCTTTCTTTTCCTCCTCCTCTTCCTTTCTTCTTCCTCCTTTCCTTTTCCTCTTCATCATCACCCCTTTCCTCCTCCTCTTCCTCTTGCTTCCTTCTTGCTCTTCATCACCATCCTCTTATGCTTTTCTTCTTCCTCTTCGTCACTATCCTCTTCCTCCTCTGCTGTCTTTATTTTCTTCCTCCTCCTCCTCTTCCTTTCTTTGCTTCCTCCTCCTTTCCCTTTCCTCTTCATCGTCACCCCTTTCCTCCTCCTCTTCTTCCTCCTTGCTTCCTTCTTCCTCTTCATCACCATCCTCTTCTTCCTCTTATGCTTCTTCCTTTTCTTCTTCCTCTTCTCCTGTATTTATTTTCTTCCTCTTCCTTTCTCCCTTCTTTCTTTGCTTCCTCCTCCTTTCCCTTTCCTCCTCCTCATCACACCTTTCCTCCTCCTCTTCTTCCTCCTTGCTTCCTTCTTCCTCTTCATCACCATCCTCTTCTTCCTCTTATGCTTCTTCCTTTTCTTCTTCCTCTTCTCCTGTATTTATTTTCTTCCTCTTCCTTTCTCCCTTCTTTCTTTGCTTCCTCCTCCTTTCCCTTTCCTCCTCCTCATCACACCTTTCCTCCTCCTCTTCTTCCTCCTTGCTTCCTTCTTCCTCTTCATCACCATCCTCTTCTTCCTCTTATGCTTCTTCCTTTTCTTCTTCCTCTTCTCCTGTATTTATTTTCTTCCTCTTCCTTTCTCCCTTCTTTCTTTGCTTCCTCCTCCTTTCCCTTTCCTCCTCCTCATCACACCTTTCCTCCTCCTCTTCTTCCTCCTTGCTTCCTTCTTCCTCTTCATCACCATCCTCTTCTTCCTCTTATGCTTCTTCCTTTTCTTCTTCCTCTTCTCCTGTATTTATTTTCTTCCTCTTCCTTTCTCCCTTCTTTCTTTGCTTCCTCCTCCTTTCCCTTTCCTCCTCCTCATCACACCTTTCCTCCTCCTCTTCTTCCTCCTTGCTTCCTTCTTCCTCTTCATCACCATCCTCTTCTTCCTCTTATGCTTCTTCCTTTTCTTCTTCCTCTTCTCCTGTATTTATTTTCTTCCTCTTCCTTTCTCCCTTCTTTCTTTGCTTCCTCCTCCTTTGCTTTTCCTCCTCCTCATCACCCCTTTCCTCCTCCTCTTCTTCCTCCTTGCTTCCTTCTTCCTCTTCCTCCTCCTGCTCTTCTTCCTGTCTCCCTCTCCTGCTTCCCTTTTCTTCCTTCCTTCT